CAAGCCCTTCCTCTTCCCCAGGCAGGTAAGGAAATGTTTCATTTCATCCTCTGCCTGCCAGAAGCCATGTTGATTTGGCATTGGACTAAGAAAAAGGACATTATGACAACAGAGAGAGAGAGCGCACGCAGTACGGAAAGTGAAACAGAGCAATGAATGTCACACACAAGGGGCGGAGCAATGTCGAGGAAAAAGTCGAGATTCGTGGGTCACATGTTCACATACACACCGAACTATCTTGGTCTGTTGCACTGTGAGGGGTAGAGGAGCACAGGTCACTTTTGTGCTGCTTCTGGGCCACAACCCTCTCACGGCACTGTTTGCCGAAGTGGGGGGAGTTGGGGGTATTATTTATGCAACAGTTTGGAGTCAGTCCTCTGGTGGCTTAAGGGCTTAGTAGCCAAAGGTCTCTTGCGAGGCATAGACCATGTAGAGGAAGCCGTCTTCATCCTTCTCTTGCTCGTAGATCTCAGAGATGGGGGTGGAAACGCTCACCATGCTGTGCTGGTTCACCAACAGGAAGAAAGCCTGGGTAGGATTCAGCTGCAGCCGGCGCCTGGCAGAAGGGGACAAAGGATGTCATTGCAGCTGAGCTAAACACACACGCCCTGGCACACATACACAACTCACTCCAGCAACAATTAAGACATGGGTGGCCAACCTGTGGCACACCAGCCAAAAATAGTAGATTCTGTTAGACAGAATCTGGAGTGCTGATAGTCTTGGCAATGGCATAGACATAGGGCTAATGGTCTGGTCCTTCCAGTTCCACAGTCCAAGACAGTGGACTTCAGCCTTTCCTGATCTGGGGCCTACTAAGCTGTAAGCACATAACAGGCAGAATCACATGGCAAGAAGTGGGGCAGTAAGGGGCAACATGAAAGGAAGAAGGGCATTGTGGTGTGTACCATAATGAGGATCAAGCCAAGACTCAACATTAAAGAGGAATCCTCTCCAACTTCTGGATGATCTTCCCTCAACATTCTGCTGCTCTTCTCAGTGTTCTGTTCGAAGAGCAGGAGGAGGTACAGTCTACATGTGCACACTAGTAGAAGATCCCTCCAAAGGGCAGAAAAATGTGGGTCTCTATAGGGAAGCAGGTCGGGTTTTTTTGACTAAACTGAGGATCCTGATCCATACGTTGAAGACGACTGGTCTAGAGCAAAGGCAAAAGCAATCCAAGTACAGGGGGCTTTGCATGCACTGTAATGGGTACCACAGAGACAATCTTAATTTAGGGAAAGTGCTATGAATGTGTTTTAAATAAATCTATTCAATCAATACTTTATACTTGTTCTGTGACACACTTTTGCCAACCAACAAGATCTCTATCCTGCTTCTTCCTTATCTATTGCATTTTTTTTCTCACCTTGCCTCCAGTGGCATTCTTGACAACAGCTCTGTGAGACAGATTGCACAGTGTGAGTGGCTGAAAGTCACCTGGTAAGCTCCATAGGTAAGGGCTCCCGTATGTGTGATGGCCTCTTCCATGCATATTTTATACATTATTATTTTCATTCCATAAGGGATGAAAAGCTGTTCCCATGCTAACCAAAATAAAGTTCTGGCATTATTAACTTGCTGAAAAGAAACAAAACCCTATGGTGATTAGGTTGCAGTGTTGGGGCAGATCACTAAGGGTTAGCTTAGAGGCATATCCACTTACCGAATTATTTTTACCAGTTCGCTCATGTTGACATGGTCAGGGACTAGAAATTTGGTCTTATCCAGCACAGGCAGCTGCTTCTCTCCCTTGTATCTTTCAATAATAACCTGGTGTGAGAGAAACACAGAGTTGGGTGAGTTTTTTCTCTTGCTTCATACAAATGAAGGCACAAAAGGTTATGCTGTTCTTTACCTCCCCATTCCAAACTGACTCCCCACCGCATACCATAACCAGCAACATGAGTCAAACCATGGTAAGTAAGACGTTTTTATTTTTGGTTGGCAGCATGCACAGTTTGCTCATTTTTAAAAGACTGATATGTTTTTTCCTGTTGCCGCTGTACTTTTTTACTGATTTACTCAATTGCTTTTAATTGCTGGTTTTATAGCAGAAGCTGCATTAAAGACTTGGCTGAGATGCAGGATATACAGTAAAAAAAACCCCTAAATATCTGTCAGAATACAGTATGACTATATCCCCCAAATGCTGTTGTACAAACACAAAATGGAGGTCACTTCCTTACAAAGAGTGGGGGATCATCTAAGCCAACATAAACAGACAATACAAAGATGACGCAACATTTTCCCTGTGCTGACTGACAAACAGGAAATGGAGACCTCTAAGATTGCCAGATGAAAGCGAAGGCTCCAACATAACTCATCCCTCCCTCCGCACTTGCTAAATCACAGGAAACACACAGCCAGTGATTACATCAGGCCTGCTGAACCACCATCTTTCCTTCTCTACGAAACATTAACTTCTGACTTTTTTCTTGCCACCCATGGCTTCCAGAATGAAAGTCACAGGTATCAGAAGAGGCTGCATATATATGGAAGTGTGGCCTCTCCCACAATTAAATTGTGTAATCAAAATTAACATGATGCAAGTTAGGTCCCAGAGCCACAGATTCTCCTTTCTTCCAAGGGTTACCACTACTGAAGTATCTAGAAGAACAAAGCCTTTCCCTGTTCAAGTTTCAGAAAACTGGAAGCAGCAGCTCAACGAGAAATCTGTCTGGCCAGACCTTGGTCAATTCCACATGGACATAACTCCAGCTCCCTGTTCTGCTCCAACTGTGGCTGCAAATGCAAAAGAATTGTGGCAGACGACATGGCAACAACCTGCCTGGTGGGGCAGGACACACCCCTGGGCCAAGCAGCAAAACTCACCTGGGTGGACTGGGGTGGGACCTGGGACAGGAGAATACAGCCATGGTAGCCTCAGCTACAGGACAGCTTTGGCAGTTTCCCCCAGGGAAACTCAAAAGGCATAGAATCAAAGGCAAGCTGCAGAATTGTGGCTCTTCTCCTTCATGATATATTGTAACCCTGAGGGGAGGTGAAGATAACCACACCTTCCGTTAACTGGAGCTGTCAAGTGGAAATAAAACCATCTGTGCAAGGAAGCAGTGACTGGGCTGGTGCTTCCAAGACCGTATAGACCCCAGGTATGATGTTTCCTTGCCCCCAGAGGGTATCACAGAAATTCACAGTGGCAATGGTGCTGTTGCTTTCTCCTCAAATCTGCAATTCTCCACACAACCCTCCCCATGACTCCAGCATGCTTTTCTGGTATTTTTTAAAAAGCATTATTGGTAGTCGGTATACGGGTATATATATATGACTAAAATCCTGCTGGTGACTGAAGGGGGGGGGGGAGGATAGCAGGCAGGAAAGGAAATGACACCTGATTTGGCACACCTTCCCTTTCATACTTTCCCAAATCCACTTCAGGTGGACTCTTCCAGGAAGATATAGATAAATATATGGAGCGGAGGTCTATTACTGGCTATTAGCCACAAGGTATAGATAGGAACTCTCAGTCTGGGGCAAGCGGTGCTCTGTATTCTTGGTGCTTGGGGGGGCAACAGTGGGAGGGCTTCTAGTGTCCTGGCCCCACTGGTGGACCTCCTGATGGCACCTGATATTTTTGGCCACTGTGTGACAGAGTGTTAGACCGGATGGGCCATTGGCCTGATCCAACATTGGCTTCTCTTATGTTCTTATGTTTTCTTATGAAAGCATCCCAAAGTAGGTTTGGGGAAACCCGGAAGACTGGTAGAAGCACAATAATGTTATGCAGAACCTTGAGTTAAAGCCTCTGCGATTTGTGCATGTGTGCGTGAAGCAAGAACTTCATGTTGTAGCAATCCATATTTTATCCATGAACAACTGGCTCTTTCCCCATCCATCCAGAATACTCCTATGAACACTTACCTTGTGCTCAAAAACATACCACTGTACTTTGGTTGAAGCAATACGAACAAATGTCTGTCTCCTCATTACATACTCACAAGTGGAACAGGACAATTTCTTTGGTTGCTCAGACTACTGTTCCACCTATCCCAGCACACTGTTTCCAACAGAGCTAGTCAGATACCAAAAGAAGCTCACTACCAGGTAGGGTTGCCACCTCTGGGTTGGCAAATACCTGGAGTTTTTTGGGGTGGAGCCTGGAAAGGGTGGGGTCTAGGGAGGGGGACCTCAGCAAGGTACAATGCCATAAAGTCAAACCGCCAAAGAAGCCATTTTCTTCAGGTGAATTGATCTTGGTCATCTGGAGATCAACTGTAATAGAGTGAGATCTCCAGGTGCCACCTAGAAGTTGGCAACTCTCCTAACAGGTCATTATGAAGTGCCTATCTGCTGATGGTTGTTTTCAGTTACTGCCTTTGGGGGGGTTCCATTTACCATGGCTAATAACCAACTGATAGAGCTCCCTCTGTAAACCTAGGAAGTTTTAAATCCTTCTATGAAAATGACTCATAACATGCTGTGGCCATGGAACCATATTAACTGCAGAAACACTTGCTCTCATCTGCCTTTGGGCAACTTCCAAGTGCTCTTGCTTTGAACTGAATTACTGTCTGGTCATTTCTAGCTAAAATCAATTGTGGTCCAGAAAGTGAACACCTCCTAGCCACTGTGGGAGACATAGTGTTATGAATTATTTAGTCACTGTGTGTGTAAAAAACATGCCTCTTGTTAACCAGGAAAGAGGCAGAGAACAGGCTAAAGGCTTCATGTACACTGTGAATGGATCCACTGCATTACCAATCCACAGAGCAGACAGCACTAGTCACAAACAGAGCTCAGTGAGTGGTCTAACCAACAGAACAAGCCAGATATCTTTCTTAGTGGAGGTACCAACCCCCCTTAGGGTAGAATACCTAGAAATAAAAACATAGCTGAAAAATTTATCAAAGGAGTGAAAAAGCAGCCCACCCCACTCTAGGAGGTACAGAAAAGACTACACTACTTTTTCTTTGTACACGCACACGTCATCATCACCTTTCCGGGTTTTCCTTGGTTTAATACAACCTTTAGTCAAAGCACCTTTGTGTGCTGGATGGATAGGAAGGTGCACATTTTTTTTTGAGCCCCCAGAGGGGATTTTTTATTATTTTTTATAAAACTACAAAACTACTACAGAAAAATAGGGAAGGGGAGACTACATATATAGGATAAAGCAAAAGAACCCACTACTAACTAAAAACCCAAGAGAGGAGATCCTCACTAGCTTAGTTACAACAAATCTTCATTTCATTTAGATTATTATAAACCGAGTCAAACATTTATATTGCTTTCTTTTTCTTTAGCTCTTAAATTTAACTGTCTAGGAAAAGTACCCCCAATCATCCCATTTCATAGTTCTCAAAGGCACAATTCAGAGTCCTTCAGCCCTCACTTCTCCTTTCCTCGTCTCTTCCGCAGCTTATAAGGACTTTTTGGAGCAGCTGCCCCTTGCTCTGTCAGAGAGTCCTCCGGAAGAACCCGAGTCCAGCTTGCCACTAGACTTGCTGTCCTCTTCTTTTCCCCCATCCTCTGGTCTTCCCAGCTGAACCCTTAGGAATTCTTGAGCTTTCAGAACAGAGTCAATCTTTTCTTTTTTATCCTTAATCTTGAAAGTGACACCTTCTGGAAATAGCCATTTATATACAATTGAGTTTGTCTGAAGAAAAAGCACAAGTTCTTTGTACTTCTTTCTCTGTTGTCTTACTTCAAATGAAAAATCCTTTAGCATTCTGATAGTATTTTCCCCCACTTTCAGGGGTATTCCAGCAACCGCTTTCAGGATAGCATTCCTCACATGCCTCTTTGAGAATCTAACGACAATTTCCCCAGGCAGATTATTTTTCTTTATATAGCCTGAATATGATCTGTAAACCCCATCCATCTCACTCAGCAACGATTCAGCCTTCATTTCTATCGCTGGGGCTAGTAATTCACTCATCACTTCTTTAAGATTCTCCCCCCTGTTCTCTGGCATGCCCTGGAAGCGAAGAATCATGTTGGCCTTTTCCATTTACACTTGCAACAGTTGATCTTCCATGGAGATTTCTTTCCTTTCCAGTTTTTGCACTTTTTTCTTCACCTTCTGGGTAGTTGCAGCCACTTCCTTTACCTTCTCAGTATCTTGCGTCATTATTTGTATCATATCGTTTATCTGGGTTTGTTGTACAGTAATACTTTGAGTCACTATAGTCATCTCTTCCTTGAAGTTATTCAGCTGTTCCAGCAGAGGGCGCATATATTCTGCTATAGACTTTGCCACGTCACTGGTAGCTTCCGGTTTCGGGCTCTCAGACCCTTTCGCTTTCAAAAGTTTTTCTCTGTCCTTCTTCCTCGCCATCTTTATCATTTGTTTACTTTTGCACATTTTTTAAAAGTCTCTGAATGTGCGCTTGACTGCTTAGATTTGCTTTGGTAAGTACTTCTAGGCAGTTTCCTTCGCGTTTTCTTCCACTCCCCCCCTCAATCGCTCAAAAGTTCTTGCGCATGGGAGGCGTCCCTCTCCCGCTCGCCTTTTTCCCGTTCGGTGGGGTGGGGTGGGGAGCTATCTTTTTCTCTTTAATAAACACTTCAAAACTGACTCACGTTCATAATTGGTCGTTTGACCTCGCTTTCAGCTTTCATTTCTGCCGCTCGATCTCCTACACTTGCCCCGGTCAGCGTCACTAAGTCCATTCGGTCTCACAGCACGGAGAACCGTTGGAACGAAGAGGCGCCTCAATTCTCCGGCGTTTCGCCCTCGAAGAGGCAACCTCTTATAAGTTCCATGGCCAGGGTCCCTTCGCCGGGCCCCTGGGGGGTAAGCGAGCCTGCGC